GGGCCCCGATGATCTCCTCTGGCCCGTTCCAGTCTCATGGGGACATGGTCCTTGCGGTGCTGCCTGCCCTGTCTACACGCCTGCTCCTCTGCCTGCGACAGTCTCGCCTCTCTTCACCAGAGAGCAAATACCAAGCCTTTAAAAATCCAGCTCAGAAGCCTCCTCCTCTTTGAAGACTATCCAACTTCCCAAACATGGCCACACCCTCAGTTCCCTGAGCTCCCGGGATTTGCTTTGGATTATGAAATAATTCGCACACACTGAAAAACAGACCAGCACAACATGACAGCTTTTGCCACTGCCCTCTGTTACAGGTCTCCTCGAGAGAAGTATTATAGAATTATCTGTGTTTGTCTTTTCCACTGGCAACCAGACTTCCTCTTCCTCCTCTGATGATTCCCAGGCACGGGATCTGGCACACAGCAGGTGCTCAAAAAAAGGTTTGGTCTTAAGATTATTTGCAGCTTTAACCCTGTGGCTCAAAGATGGTCTAAGTGCTTTTCCATGAGCCTTCAGAAAGGATTCTGTGCTAAGTAATTCTCGTTTTGAGATGCAGTCCGTTTCTTCCTGCTCTGGACTAAACCTGCCTGTTATTGTTCATGCTGCTAAGTGAATGCTGTTTCCATACCAGACCTGATATTTTTAGCACTCCTGTTATGATAAACTCACACTAACCTCAAAAAGAACAAATCAAAGTCAACTTTTTGCCACAGGAAACCAGCTCATGCTTAATGTTTTGCAACATGCCATGGGAGAATAATAAAAAGATGAGACCTTTTGCTCACAGATGGCGAGGCCAACGTTCAAGATAGTGGAAAAATGCAGCAGGAAGCGTTAAGTCTGGCCACTATCTTATTAAGTAAACTGGAAAAACACCCAGCACCCAAACAAGGCAAACACACGCACATGAACGGCAGGGCAGCCGCTTTCCCAGACATTGACTTGTGCATGGGGCAGTAAGAACCATCTACATGTGAGGGCGGGCCGGGGCCAGGACAGCACTGGAATCAAAAGCCTGCTGGGTGCCCAGAGAAGCAGACAGGTGAGAGGACCCTGCTGGCTGGCTGCGCTCCCCCTAGGGTGGAGTAAAGGACCAGATAAGCACCAGCCAGTCCCTCATGACAAAATATTCATCAAGCACCTACTATGCCCGCCAATGAGTGAAATCAAATCAGGTGCCCTGCAAGGTGTCCTCAGGCATGCATCACAGCCAAACACCTTGTTCTCTAGGAATTCCTAAGGCAGGTGGATCAGTCACATTCCTAGAAGGGTCTAGGGAACAAATTCCAAGGCCTGGGAAAAACTAAAAGCTATTTATTTACGTGACTTTCAGGATGAGACTGGTCAGAAAATCTGTCTGTATACTTAAAATAGGTAAACTTTCTGTTACAAATCATACCTCAATAAAGTTGTTAAAAGCACAAAAATAAAAAATACAGAACAAGACACATTTTCACTGACTATTTAGAATGAGAAGAGATTTCAGAGAGAGGCTGGCTAACATAGTCCTCCCATTTCTATAGGCAAGGAAATAAAATCCTAAAGCGGCAAACTGACTTATCTATGCCCAAGGTCACACAGACGGAGGATGGCAAGTGTATTTGGCAGAAGACAAGTTCACCTGTGGAAGCTGCTATGTTCTCCTGGGTAAGTCCAACAAGGTCAATTACAGGAGAACCTCAGTTCTATGGATGGCTGAGTAGAAAACGGAAATAAGTATTTCTCTGAATATAAGAATAAGGTGCCCGGCCAGCGTGGCACATTGGTTGAGTGTCAACCCATGAATCAGGAGGTCATGGTTTGATTCCTGGTCAGGATACATGCCTGTGTTTTAGGCTTGATCCCCAGTGTGAGATGTGTGTAAGGCAGCTGAACAATGATTCTCTCATCATTAATGTTTCTAACTCTCTCTCCCCCTCTCTTTTCTGCTCTGAAATTAGTAAAAATTAAAAAGAGGGTTTTTTGTTTTGTTTTTGTTTTTGCAGCTCAAGGAACCATGAGCAGCAAAGTCTTCTGCGACACCCTTAAAGAGGCAGTGCAGGAGGCAGCGCCAGAAGTGTTTGGAGACCGTGGAGCTGCAGATCAGCCTGAAGAACCATGACCCTCCGAAGGACAAACGCTTCTCAGGCACCGTCAGGCTAAGTCCACGCCACCCCAACTTCTCCGTGTGCGCGCTGCGGGACCAGCAGCACTGTGATGAGGCCGAGGCCATGGACATCCCGCACATGGACATCGGAGCACCGAAGAAACTCAACAAGAATAAGAGACTGCTCAAGAAGCTGGCAAAGAAGTACGATGCCTTTTTGGTTTCAGAGTCTTGGTTGCAGTTGCTCTCTGACTCGTCATGCTAAATGAACATACGTCTCAATTCTAATAGGTTCACTCTCTCTTCTTAGGATGGAATGAGGCCTCGAAGGGGTGTGACTTGGCCATGATCATGCAATGCATTAGTGGTGGTCTTACCTTTTAAAATTCTACGACTATTATAGGATTGTACATGTAAAAATGGTTAAGATGCTACATTGTATGGTATTTTTTTTTTACCATAATAAAAACATCCTGTGACTATTAACTAATAACATAGTTTTTAATCACCAAATCCAAAGTGTTAAAACTTAAAACTGAAAAGAACTAATACTGTTTAGAAGAGAGAAGTAACGATCTGAATTTATATAAGGCGGGGCAAAAGTTTACAATTGTTTGATTGGAAAAGAATAATTAATAAATAGTAATACAAGAATAAACTGTGTTTTGCATACTCACACGTGTAAACGTACTTTTGTCCCATCCTGTATTATCTAACAAAGTATCACAGGCAGAAAATAAAACTCAACAGGATTGCTATAATACTATTACAGTACTCAAGTATGGAATTAAGGGTAAACTGAGTCAACTCCCAAACTTCTACACGTAAAACAAACAAACCAACCAAAAAGCACACAACTTCATGAACACAGGTCTGTGGGACTTGATGTGTTATAGTAATCACCCAGCCTCCCAAAGGCCCCTGGGCAGCCCCATGCTAGAGAGGAATCAGTGAGCTCTGGGAACGTGAGGCTGTGGTTCAACATCACCCATCGGAAAAACTGGTGGAGCTAGGTCTGAAAGCCAAGTCCGTTTTAATTCCAAAGCTCAAGCCCCGAACAACCACACAGCAAGGCTGGCCATTCCGCCATAATGTTAAAACTCCTGCTTCTTCATCTGTTTCCTCATCTCGAGAAACCAAACTGGGGAGATTCTCACTCTGCTGACTTCATGTGGTGTGATGATGACTTGGATACATGAAAACTGTGAAAGGTTAGACTAGGGTTTCTCAACGATGGGGAGCCGTCCTGTGATACTTACAACATCCCTGCCCTCTCCCGGCTAGACGCCAGCAACATCTCCCTCCCGCTCCCCCACAACTGGAACAGCCCAGAAATGTCCCCAGACACTGCTGATGTACTACTCTGGCAGGCAAACTGCCCCTGGTTGGAAATCACCACATCATGGTAATCTCCAATACCAGTTGACCAATGTGACTAATTTATAAGCAGCAGCTACACCCAAAACCTTTGCAAAAGGACAACATCTATTTATGAGGGGCTTTTCTATGCTCCAGGCACTGAGCAATTAGCTTCCCCCAAAGGGCGGACCCCATGCTCTCTCTGCACTCCAAGCAGGAGGGTGCTGCTGGGACTCCAGTTAGCACTTCCTGCTGAACTGCCCAGTCCTTAAGAGGGGCTGTTTTCTGAGTCCTACTCACAGGCAGAAGACACATTCCTACTTAGCCCATTTCATTATTGCTATACAAATGGATATTACGCGCTTCAAAATAGTTCATCCCCCAACTTTCCTTGTCCCCGATGGGGTCAACACCATTAATTACTACGGGAAGAGCTTTACTCGTAAATAATGTAAAGATAAACTTGAGCCCTGTCTGATTTTCTTGTTTATTAAGGAGGCTTTATACAGCTTTTTGTATTTCCCTTTGGAGAACTAGCACGCACAGCCTTCGTCTGTGCTGGCTCGGGGGCAGTTCCTGGAGTCTGCACAGATGAAGGGAAGGAAGGAGGAGGGGTGCAGCTCTCCTCTCTTCCCTGGGAAAGAAAACCAAATACTGTCTAAATTCAACCAAAAATGCCTGGTAAATTGTGTAAAGAAAAGCCACATCTCCACCTGATAGGAAGGATGATGCTTCTGCAGAGACACTGGCTCTTGCAGGCCTGGGTGAACACATGGCGCAGGGGACAGGTGACTGGGGCCTCCAGTACCGCATCTGTGCTGCATGGAAACACATCCCCTAAAGTACAAAAATGTCAAGGGGATTTTTTCTCTTCTTTTCTGGCATTTTTCTGCAGTAAATATGCGTTATTTTTATACTAATTAACAAACTTGTATTTTTACATGTGCTTGCAGTATAGCTGAGAATATGAGTCACCTTTATCTCTCCGTGCCTCAGTTTCTCTGTCTGTAAAAATGGGTTAGTAATAGTATCTATCCCCAACACTTGATGTTAGGGATTATTATTTTTTAAATAATATTAAAAAACTAATTAAAACTGCCAGGCAGAAGGAGCCAAACAATACTTAGCTAACAGCCCTTGCTACCCCCTACCCCCCACCCCAGGAAGGAGGGAGGAAAGGAGAGAGGGAGGGACTTTTCAGGAGAGGAAAACTGGTTTGGGAGCCAAGGAAGAACTCTGCAGAGGGAAAAAATGGTGCTGAGAAAAGGTTTGATTTATGACACTGTTATCTCAGGCTCAACTTTAGAGGGTAGGTCATTTCAACAAATAAAGAAATTTAAAAAAGCAAAAATCGTTAGGAAACCAGAGCTCAGTGACAGTCCTCGTATCCGTTCACTCAGATGTGTGGCCACTGAGAATCAACTACTGAGGAACCTGACTCAGGGGAACATCAAAAAGCCATCGGACTCCGCAGCCACAGGTGCAGAAACCCAAGCCCACGCGCCCCTGCCTCCCCGGAACCCCGGAGCCCTCACCGGAAGCCCTGGGCTCTCACCTTGGAGGAGAAAGTAATCCGGAGTTGTGCGCTTCAGAGCGGCCTTCGCTTTGTCGCTGCTCCAGTCCACTTCCAGAGCCTCTTTAAGGGAGCAGAAGACCACTTTCTGTTGGGAAAAAAAAAGGCGAAACTGCTTAGGGATAAACTATGCTTGGTTTTAAGTCACAAGGCGGAATAGCTCTTCGCCATTTGGAGAAATGTCATTATCTAAGGTTTACTGTTCATTAAAAGAAGCCGAGGCCCCTCAAATCCAATAAACGTTTATTAAGCACTCACTGAGCGCTCCTCTGGGCACCAGGACACGGCGGTGAATAACACAGTCCCTGCCTCGAAGGAAGACGGAGCAAAGCTGAAGTCCTAATACCTTTCTGGTTCTTTCTTTCACTGGGTATATTTACACAGCAGAAATATTTGCACAAGCGAAGAAAAATATGTGTCTAGAGATATTCAATAAACTCTTTTTAAAAATATATATTTTATTGCTTTGTACAGAGAGGAAGGGAGAGAGATAGAGTTAGAAACATCAATGAGTGAAAGTCATCGATCAGCTGCCTCTTACACACCCCGTTCTGGGGATATGCCCACAACCAAGGTACATGCCCTTGACCTGAATCGAACCCGGGACCCTTCAGTCCCCAAGCCGACGCTCTATCCATTGAGCCAAACCAGTTTCGGCTTCAATAAAGTTTTTTTAATAGTAAATAAAAACAAAAATAAATGTTTCTCAGTAGAAGCACGCTTACTGCTGCTGATGGTTGACAATACTAATAAATAACAGCAAGAAAAAGAGTAACGGGATGAAATGAGAGCTGCAGGCTATGGAAATGGAAATGGCATTTGCAAAAGCCCTGTGGTAGGAGAAGTATGGCTAAAACCTATGAGACTAAACCAAATAATCTTGGGAAATGCCATAACATATGTTTTAAAATATAAACAATTAAATATGAATGAGAAAATGGCTTCCCTTTTCTGAACAATTCCATCCAGTCGTTTTCTGGCACTGGGAAGGGCAGGAAAGAGCACGTGTGGAGGAGCTGGGGGCTGGCTGGAGGAGACAGCACTGAGAGGACTATATCCACAGACTGGATGCAACCAGTAAATACTCTGATAATCTGGGAATCCAGGCTTCTCAATGTCAGAGAAGAGAATTGGAAATATGGGGAGAAAACTAGAATGAAGTCTGTGGTTTTTGGTATAAACTCAGTTTCAATATATGGACAGATAAAGAAATAAATGTAGATGCAAAACTCCTTTTGACCTTAGACTCCCCTTTGGGAGCCAAAACAAACAAACAAACAAAAAAACAAACACAAACCAAGGGAATTAAAAAACCTGATGAGCCGAAACCGGTTTGGCTCAATGGGTAGAGCGTCAGTCTGCGGACTGAAGGGTCCCGGGTTCGATTCCAGTCAAGGGCATGTACATTGGTTGCGGGCACATCCCTGGTGGGGGGTGTGCAAGAGGCAGCTGGTCAATATTTCTCTCTCATCGATGTTTCTAGCTATCTCTCTCCCTTCCTCTCTGTAAGAAAATCAATAAAATATATTAAAAAAACAAAAAAAACCCCTGATGAACAATATTAACTGGTGAATATAATAGAATCAGAGGTATGGAAGGGGAGTGGACTGATGATTCTCAGGGAAAAGGAGTGGGGGGTGTGGGAAGAGACTGAACATAAACTGTGCACCTATGGATGAGGACAATGAGGGGTGGGGAAGGGGCAGAGGGTGGGGTAGGAACCTGGTGGAGGGGGGGAAAATGAGGAACTTTTGTAATAATATGAACAATAAAGGTTTATTAAAAAATAATAATAAAAAATAAGTGTAGATGCAATACCATGAAACAAGGAAGTGCTCAAAAAATGATGGGGACATGAAACAGAAAACAGGACACAACTTAAAGTGCCCACTGGTCAAATCTGGAACATTTTGAGGATAAAAAGAAATAATACTAGATTGCAACACTTTAAATAAACTAGCATCCATTAGTCCACAGACCTAAAATTAATCAAGTTTAATGAGGAATGGGATATTTACATATTTTCAAAATACCTCTCTATAAAATACATATTAGTCACAGAGGGAAAAGAGGAATTGTATTCAAAGAAGTCTGGCAGACATAATCTCACGCAAATGCTGAAAGTGAACATCAGCAGTAAAAGGCATATGGAAATCATGCACAGACCACAGAACGTGACGAGAAGCATCCATACCGTGATATCTGTGCCAGAATGTGTAGCTGCAATCTAATCACAAGGGAACATCAGATGAACCCAAACTAAGGGACATTTTACAGACTAACTGGCTCGTAATCTTTAAAATTGCCATAAAAATCTAGATGCACGCTTGATCCTGAACTGGACCTTTTGCCAAAGGGACATGATTGGGGCAACTGGCAACACTTGAATGGAGTCTGAGGATTAGTGGCGATGATGTAACTGGAGGAGTTTCCTGATTTTAATGGTTGGTTTGTGGTGATGAAGGAGGACTTGTGTGAGAAAATACAAACTGAAATACCTGGGCATGATGGTTGGGGCATTGTGTTGGCATCTTCCTCTCTGATAGTTCAGGAAAAAATGCTTCTCAGTACTAGTTACTTTTACTGGGTTTAAGATGGGTGTGTATAAATAATTTCAAAACTTGCGGAAGTATGGGTCCTCTCTCTCTTCTCTTTCTCTCTACACACACACACACAAACAGAGGCATCATACAAATCTCTTCCCCCTCCCGCCGATATTTAAAACAGAAAAAGAGCAAGAGAGAGGGAGAGAAAGAGAGAGACTCAAAACAACAAGAATATAATTTAGGAGGCTTGCTGAACCAAGATCTATCAGCTACCAGGCAATTTACACAGCTTATTAAGGACCAAAATGGATATTATAAATGAAATTCCAAATTGTTAATGAAGATTAAACACACTCTAAATTTAATTTTTCTTTTAATCCTCACATGAGGACATGCTTAAAGAGGAAGGGGGGAGGAGGAGGAAAGAGGAGAAAGGGAAGGAGGGGAGAAATGGGAGGAAGGGAGGGAGAGATATGGGCTGCCTTCCGTATATGCCTGACCTGGGATGGAACCAACAATCCAAGTACGTGCCCCAACTGGGAACCTAACCAACAAATTTTCGGTGCACTGAGCCACATCAGCCAGGGCAAAACAGTCAAGGTTTTTTAAAAATATGTTTTTATTGATTTCAGAGAGAAGGAAGAGCGTGAGAATCACTGATTGGCTGCCTCTTGTATGCCCCCTACTAGGGATCAAGCCCAAACCTGGCATGTGCCCTGACCAGGAATTGAACCATGACCTCCTGGCTCATGGGTCCATGCTCAACCACTGAGCCACAGTGGCCAGGCAACAGTCAAGGTTTTCAAGGTGGCTTTCCGCCTCTGGGCTGGTATACAAGATGTCTACAGTGCCCTCAAACTGTTGGGTCACCAGGTCTGTTTGGCCTCAAAAGGTAAGGCTAGTGACATTTAGTGCCTTCTATAGGCTGCCAGACCCTTCCAATGAGTCTTCAACACAGACCACATCAGCAGTATGCTGGGAATGCCATCATAATGAGGAAGAAAAGCTTTATCAGATTTTTAAAACTACCAAGACCTTCATTCAGAGGTTCTGTACAATAGTTTGCTTCGCTAAGAACAATGCTAAGAATCCACTGGTCTGCCGAAACTGGTTTGGCTCAGTAGATAGAGCGTCAGCCTGAGGACTAAGAGGTCCCAGGTTCGATTCCGGTCAAGGGCATGTACCTTGGTTGCGGGCACATCCCCAGTAGGAGGTGTGCAAGAGGCAGCTGATCGATGATTCTCTCTCATCAATGTTACTAACTTTCTATCCGTCTCTCTTCCTCTCTGTAAAAGATCAATAAAATATATTTTTTTTAAAAAGAAAAGAAAAAAAAGAATCCACTGGTCTGTTAAGCCACTATCTGATGATGAATGAGAAAAAAAAGTTGCGTTTTAGTCTCAGTCCCACCTCTAACACTGGGACAAGAGTACCAATGAAAACCCATCCATCACGTCTACATGTTTAGTTATAAATCAAACTAGCAAGCTACTACGTAAGAGATATCGTATTCTCCTGCCTTAACAAATATACCTTCTCCACAGCCAGCCACCTGGAAGACCAGGCTCAGATTTGGAAATCTCACGCTCCTTGGAGTTCTCTGCCTGAACGAGGTGCACGGGAAAGCTGTCCCCGTTTTTCCCTTCTCTTGTCGCTTGGTCCCCTCAGCTGGTCCTTTCCCACCAAATCCTGCTCTCCCCTCCTGTCCCCCCCCCCCTCCCCGCCGGGGGCACAGGCCTGCAGACACTGTGATGAGGCCTGCACTCCAGAGGCAGGTCCGGGAGGAAGCCCCAAAACGCCTGGGAAGTAAGCCTGGGTTGTCTGGATGGGAAATTCCGGGGTCCCAGCATCCAGAATGTGGTCTAGAACGAGGGCAAAGGGTATGGGATAGAATTCTCACCCCATGAGAGGGATGGCTGGAAGGAGGGCAGACTGGGACGTTCTAGAGCACTAGGGCCAAGAACAGAGGCCTTTTTCTCCCCCAAGACTAAGGGCAGAACCATCCCAGTTTTGCACTAAGTTGTGATCTCAGACAAATGAATTTACCCCTCAGCCTGACTGTGGCAGACAACTTTCAGGAAGTTCCCTGGCATCTGGGGAGGAGGTCCACAGCGGCCCTCTCTGTGATATGTACTAGCCCTCCAGCCACACGTGACAGAGCCAGGGGAGGGCCCATGGCCCAAGACCGACCAATCAGATCCTTTATCCTGGTAAGTGAGAATTTGAAAGTTGGAAGCGGAGCCATGTTAACCGCAGGGCTCTTAAGAGAAGGGCCAAATTCCTACCACCAGCTGCCTGGTTTTTTTACCCTTCCCAGATCACAACAGGTACTCAATGCTTCTTGTGTTACTCCAGCCTGCCTCCAAGTAATGTGTGTCTCTTTCCCCCTGCCCCCTTTGTTGTTAATCCTCACCTGAGAATATTTTTCCCACTGTTTTTCAGAGTGGAAAGGAGAGAGGGAGGGGAGGAGGGAGAGAGACAAACATTGGCAGACAGATATGAGAGACACACTGACTGGCTGCCTCCTGCAGGTACCCTTACT